TGGAGAACACTTTGTTCACAATTTCCACACAGTCACGAAGGGGTGCTTCCAGTTCAACTGACAGCAAAGTAGCTGGATTAAAAGTGTTCATTGTCTCTAAGGTTATGTGGGATTTTTAAATAGGAGCCCTTGATTCCAAGTCATCCTTGGATTTGATAAGCAATGGTGCACTATTTGGTCAATCAAGGTTATGAATGTGTGTAGTACTCAAATGGTCAGTTGTTGTCCCAAGGTCAGCTTGTTAGCTTCCTACATTAGCAGGGCAGTGGCAGCAAGAGCCCGAAGCACGGGAGTCATCCTAGGGCCACAGAATCTAACCATTTTGACAAGTACGCCACTGGGCAATTTCAGGATCCCAAGACTTGAGTTAAGACTCTATGGCCATTGTCTTCCATTCACAGACGTATAGGAAGACAGGCTTGGTTGGTCTGGCAGTCGTCTTAGAGTCCTTTTCTTCTCCATTTGCAGCTTTATATAGGGCTTAACCATAAATGAGAAATATGGGATTCAGATGTGGCAGAACCCTGTTATCGCCAGAAACTCCTTTTTTATGTATATATTGTTTTTATTTATTCTTATTTTTATTTTTTTCAGAAACTCTTATTTGGTGCCAGGTGGTTGGAGTTGGGAGGGCTTAGACAGTTTGCTTTTATGCCTAACTAGTGCTCCCCATGAGCCATTATGAAGCCAAGACATTTGACCTCTTGCTGGCAAATTTGTGTCTTGGGGGGGCACTTTATATTTACCCCTCTAAAGAAAATTAAGGAGGTCCTTGGTTCCCCGATAACAGTCCTCTCGGGTTGCAGCTGCCAAAAGGAGACCATCTACATACTACAGCAGGATGCAATTCTCCCCTGCTTGCTCCACTCATCACCATGGTTTGGCGTCTTCCTTCACGCCCACTTTTATCTTAGCCCCCAGGCCATCTTTGGCCTGGCATCACTCACTGCAGTATCTTGGGCCCAGGGTGGCCCAAGTCCATGGCTTGGATCCCCTCCTCCAAGGACAATGCATACTCAGCCATAGGCCAAGTCAGGGGAAGCAGCACCCCTTGTACTGTCTCACTCTAAGCTCTCGGGCACTTTGAAGTGAAAAGACAACCACTACTTTGTCCCTTTAACCTTGGCAGGTACAGCTGGGAGTAACCTGTGGAATAAGTCTCTTCCCAGCAGGGGAACTGGGCAATTTGGAAGATAAAGAAACTCATATTGGAGCTGGGTGTGGTGCGCACACCTGTAATGCCAGCACTTGGGAGGATCGCTGTGAGTTCTAGATTAGCCTGGGCTATATAGTGAGTTCCAGGTCAGTCTCAACTGCATAATGAGACCCTGTCTCAAAAAACAAAACACAAAGAAAAAAAAAAAAGGAAAGAAACTCATGTTGGACCTATTTTCCTCCTCTCAGATCAGAAAAATGGCCTCTTTTCCGGGACCCCAGTGGCTCTAACAGTAGTCACGTGATTTTCAAATAATGGGCCAATGGGCTGGTAACTACCAAGCATTCAGCTCCACTATCTACCAGAAAGTCCATTAATTGGCCCCCTACTTTCTTACCTTTTTTTTTTTTTTTGGTACCAGGGATTGAACTTGGGTCCTTGAGCTTTTGAGGCAGGCAGCAGAATCACTGAGCTAAATCCCCATCCCGTCCCCCTACTTTCATTGTGACCATGGGCCCTGAAGACCTATGGAGATTGACCCCAGTCTTGCCTAGTCGTCATAGCCTTCACTTCTTGCCTGTCAAATGAGGCCAGCATCTGGTTTTTCTTAGGGATGATAGTCTTGTAGGCAGCCTCCTAGTTTGGGAATTTTTTTTTCTTTTTATTGAGTTTATTGGTACAATCTAGGTATACAATACAGTTACATTCATCATTGGGATTCTGTACCTTTACATAATAGGTCTTGATTCTCATTTTTTCCCCTTGTCCCTGCCCTCCCTTCACCCTCTCCTCCCCTCCCCACTTACAAACACTTTATTTCCATTTTTTCAGTTTCTCATATTTTTTTCCTCTCCTTTATTACCTTTCCCCCACCCTTCCCACTTTCCCTACACCTTTAGCCCTTTACTTCCTATTTTACATTATTAATTATCTCATTAGGATCCTGTGTACTATTATAGTTTTTCACACCAAAGAAACTATTCGGTATTTCAGTTAAAGAAATCTCTGTATGAACATTAAAAATAGGGAATCCTAAAATAAAACTAAAAAGGAAAGTAAAAGAGAAAAAGCAATGATGTAGGATTTAAATAATCCTTAATTCTGGAGATGAAAATGGTCCCTGAACATTTTTAAATTGCTTCTCGCTCTTATAGTCTTATCTTATTCTTTTCTTCATTATTTAGAGAATATTTTATTAATTTCTGTAATCAAACCCACGTAGATATGACCTTACATATTTAGTACGATGTGTTATCCCATACACATGGAAAAAAAAATAAAAATAAATTAACATTTCTAGACCAATATG